TGAGATCAAAGATGTAATACAGGTTAATAGTACAGACAGTGTTAGAAATTTAGGTCCATAGACATCCAATGAAGTGTTACAGAAAACATGCTGTGTTCCTCAGATTTTGAATATTTGCCAAAAGATACTGTATTTTTTAGCTTAAATTTAAAGTGTCAATTGTCCTTTTTTTAGGTAAGTGCCGTGGTCTTCGTACTGCTAGAAAGCTCCGAAGCCACCGGAGAGACCAAAAGTGGCATGACAAACAATATAAGAAAGCTCATTTGGGCACTGCGTTGAAGGCCAACCCATTTGGAGGAGCATCTCACGCAAAAGGGATTGTCTTGGAAAAAGTGTAAGTGGAAGATGGGTATTCCTGTACAATTTTAATGTGTTATATAAATTGCATGTAAATGAACAAGTTAACTTAATTGCATAATTCTGGTGTTCTACTGTCACAGTCCATCTATTATCAAGTCATGGTAATTCACCAATTAAGTTTGAGAGACAGCCCCATATAGTGGCCTTGGAATCTGGAAGATATGGGTTTAATGTCCTCTAATGAGACTTTGGACATATCACTTAAACTTAAGTACCTGTTAGGTGCTAGGCATTGTGCTAAATTTGGGATACAAAAGACAATCTGATGGGTAAAAATTTTTTATCTCTACTGTCCTGGATAGTTGGGGAAATACCATGTATGTGCATATAATCTTTGAGCATGGTCACTGCAACAGTGGAGTATATAATTTCAGGGGATTCTGTTTGGGCTTTTAATTTCACAACTGGTAAAGCTGATTCAGAGGGGATGCGTATATCGGCATCTGAACAGTCCTTAGCTCTTTTAAATAACTCAGTGGTATCTAAGTTTAAAAACCATAACTTTTTCCATAGAAAAGAATAAGGGTTTTCATAAGTAGTTGAATTCCAGCCAGCTTGTATTGCAACAGTGCATTTTTAAATGCACATGTATTTGTCTAATGTGAAACTGCATGATAATTTTGTTGTGCTTTTGGTTTTTGCATTTGGTTTTCAAGGGTATTTAATAAACTTGGATTGAACTAGTAAGTTATGTCTTTGGACTAAATAAATGGCTCAGTTTGTGTGGTTTATTGTAGTGGTGTGGAAGCCAAGCAGCCCAATTCTGCCATCAGGAAGTGTGTGAGAGTCCAGCTGATTAAGAATGGCAAAAAAATCACTGCCTTTGTTCCCAATGATGGCTGCTTGAACTTTATTGAGGTAGGTATTTCTAGTGATTTAAATTTAATCCATTGTAATTATTCGTATTTGGCCTTTTCCCCCAGATTAAAAAGGAATGAAGTTAAAGAACACAATGTCATTATCTTTGGGTCTGTTGTAATTATTTAGTGATGTTTTGTTTTTCTTTTAGGAAAATGATGAAGTTTTGGTTGCTGGATTTGGTCGAAAAGGTCATGCTGTTGGTGATATTCCTGGAGTCCGATTCAAGGTTGTAAAAGTTGCAAATGTTTCTCTTCTGGCCTTGTACAAAGGCAAGAAAGAAAGACCAAGATCATAAAAATTGTATGATGTCTTTGTCATAGTAAACAATTTTCATGTAACAAATGTGTGTGGCTTTTTTTTTTCTCATTTAGATGATTCTTAAAAGTTAGAATAAGTTATGCCTGTCTTGCTATAACTTTGTGAACAAAGCTGTTTAATAGTTGGCTAGAAGTGGAATGATGTGTACAATCAGCAAACATCTTATTTATTAAGCACTTATTATGTGCTGGGTGCTCAGGATACAAATACAGGTTTGAAATAGCTCCTGCCTTCAAGCACATCATATTCTCCTTGAGGAATACAACATGATATGACTGAAAGCCAAACTTTTTTTAAACATTAGATTAATTTAAATGTTAAGTAGATATCTCAGATATTTGAACTGGACATTTTAATCTGCTTTCATCACAAGTATTAGGGAAGAATACATCAAATTAAGAGTTAAAATATTTACTGGGCTATTTTGAATGGAAATATGTTTTAATTTCAAGTCAGGATGGCAATTTAAATCACAATGCTTTACAACTAACATTATAAACATTTTTGTTAACAGATATGCAGTATATTAACTAATTTGCCAGAAGAAGGTGTGAACTTGCTTGTGTATATATGTCAATATTTTTATAAATTGTACTTGCCCAGCACTTTTATTATAATGTAGATATATAGATATTATAATATAGATATATAGGTATTATAGATAGATATGTCCAAATTTTATGAATCTCAATAGAGAGCTGAATGTTTGTGACTTTTGTGAGATGTATTGAGTTAAAGGAAGGCAAAGATCACATGGTTATGTCTTAGAATTAGGGACATTAAGAAGCTGTAGTGAATTCTTCAAGATCACACAGTAGAAAAGCTGGGAGCTCTCCAGCTCCAAATCTGGTGCTCTTTAAATCCACTACATTCCGTTGTAATGAATGCCAAGGTTTCTAAAATACTAAGCGCATGCTCTGGGCTAGGTTGTAGGGATAGGAATGGGGAAATCACTAGCCCCCATGTAAGAGAAATTTAGTCTTATAAGATGTACAAGAGGTGTTAACAGCATTGAAACACATAGGCATGTATTCACAAATGTTGAATTTGATAAATTCCAGCTGAGAAAGCCAATATGTATATCCTGTTCTGATGCCAAACCAGAATGTTCCTTGGGACCAAACCCAGACAACTCAGGATCCTGGGGCCGAATTGCATAGCAACAAATATGGCTAGATTTGGAATGATCTGTCAGGTCAGTAAGAAGCTAAATATAGCAATGTTTACCCCTTGAATATACCTTCCTGGAGCTAAGAAACCCAGAATCTGACAGTGGTGCCAAAGGCTCAGACCCTAGTGATACAGATTCCAGTTTAGACATTCTAGATTGTTGATCAGGGAATGGTATTTAAGTCTTGGTTTTCTGTCTTGGGTAACTTTCATTAAAATTAGTGGGGAATTGGGAAGGAGAATAAGTATTTACAGTGATTTGCAGAAGCTCCTTCCATTACTGCAGATGGGTAACTGGAGCTTAAAAGTTTACTGCCTGTGATCACACAACTGGTTTGTCAGAAGCAATGTTTAAACTTGGGTCTTACTCAGACTGGCTCTTTATCCAGTACAGTGCTGCTCATTCATAACAGATGCTTAACTAAAGTTGGATTCAATTTATGGTTGGGAGGTGTGCAGTAAGTCAGGAATTTAGGTGGCATTTAATTCTGAAAGAAATAGTGCTGTATCTTTGGATTTGGGAATCATGGCAGTTAAGCACAATGAACTACTTTTTGCTACTTTAGGACATTAGGCTAACTATTTGGAGCCTCAGTTTTCTCATCTATAAAATGGGAGGATTGGGTAAAATGATCTCAGATCCTGATGAATGAACTATGAAAATCAGTTCCTACCCTGCCACAGTAGTATGTGTGCTTTAAATAATTTAACCTTTGATCTTGGTTTCTCACCTGTAAAAAGAAGATAAAGCCTGTCCAGGCAGTTGCATTGTGTTGCAAGGATCAAACGTGATAATGTAGGTGAAAGCTACATAATGTTGGTATTAAAGACAGTACTCTTCCATTATGTGAAAAAAAATTTGAATGTTAGATTTGGACTGGAAGGACCCGAGTTTTATTCCCAGCCCTGCTTCCTAATATGTGTGAGACCTTAAGCAAGTTTCTTCACTGTCCTCAAACCCCATTTGAAGGTGGTCTCCTTTGAGCTCTAGATGTTCCTCTGCAGGTATCTGAGCCTATGATTTTATCTGTGTGGGAAATGCTAATGTGCAGACTTCGATAATTCAAATTGGTCATTTGTCTTCCATTTATACATTCTTAGAGTTGGCTGGTTGTGACTGCCTCTGGACACCAGTCAGGATCTTACTTAGAGTGGTAAGGGTCCTCAGGCCATCTCCAGCCCTCTCGTTTTACAGGTGAAACGACCATCTCAGGTCTGGTGACTGGTGCAGTCACATAATAGGAAGTAAGCATCAGGGAAGGGATTTCCATCTAATTCTTTGGACTCCCTTTTCACATCCTGAGCTCAGGTCTTCTCCACGCCCTTGCAGGTTCTGTCCACTACACCAAGCTACTAGTCGTGTTTTAGGACAAAAGTGGCAACACACACTCCTGACAGCCTGAACCAGATTTAAAATGCCTGATCTTAATGTGTTGATGTATTAATAAAAAGAAATATATAAACGTGATTTTTTTAAGTCAATATGCGGCCTGCAGGGATCCTTATGTGTGGTTCAGTGGTTTGTCACTACTGATTTAGGACATCTCAGATGAATTTAATGGGGCCATCCTTGAATGGGTCTCATCATCCTCTTACAGAACGTCGTCAAGGGGCAGATTGGTGTAGTGGGAAGAGCCCTGGATTTTACTTCATGAAAAGCTGGAGAAATCTCAACCTCTGTGAACCCCAGTTTATTCTGTAAAGTGGGGATGATAATAGCTAACGTTAACGTAGCTCGCTGAAAGAGTGTCGGGAGACAAGTTATTATATTAGTCTTTGTTGTTCAGTCGTGTCCAACTCATTGTGACCCTGTGGACCATACTGTCCGTGGGGTTTTGGCAAAGACACTAGTGGTTTACCATCTCCTGCAGTGGATTAAGGGAAACGTTAAATGACTTGCCCAGGGTCATACAACTAGTGTCTGAGGCCACATTGGAACTCATTTCCTGACTTGTCTCGGCGCTGGATCCAATGAGCCATTTAGGTGTCTCACACCTATATAAAATTACTGTAGATGAACTGTCCTCGTAAACTGCACATGGGGATACAAAGTATCACAGAGTGCTGGGCGGGGGCCGGGCCACGCGAACAGCTCCTGGTCCTTTCCTCTCCCTAACTGGAGATAGCCCCTCCCTCTCGCACGGTGGGCATGCTGGGGATTTGCCTGGTCCGTCCCACGTATCATATAGCTCTATATGGCTTTGGAGTTTCAGGCGCTGCGCGGGACAGCCTGGCGGTGAAGGAGGCGGGGGAAGGACCGGGGTCCTCGGCCCGGCTCGCGCGATGTCTAAGACTCGCGCGTGCGTAGTTCATTCTTGCTGGGCTCCGGGAGCTGCGCGGGCAGAGGCGAGATGGGTGAGTGGGGGCGGCCGGAAGCCGAGCGGGGAGGAGGAGGAGGGGGAGGGTCCCGGCCCCGGCCTCGCCCTCCATCGCTCGGTGCCTCTTCCCAGGCAAGTGCCGCGGACTCCGCACGGCCCGGAAGCTGCGCAGCCACCGGCGGGACCAGAAGTGGCACGACAAGCAGTACAAGAAGGCCCACCTAGGCACGGCGCTCAAGGCCAACCCCTTCGGGGGAGCCTCGCACGCCAAGGGCATCGTCCTGGAGAAAGTGTGAGTACCGCCCCGCATTTATGGGGCGCCGCCTGTATGCCGGCGTCCGGACCGGGTGCCTCCGGGGCGGGGACCCTGCCCTCAGGGAGCTTCCCTTCCCCGGGTGTCCGAGCCCAACCTGAGGGTCACCGGCACGTGGGAGGGCGGGGAGGTGGGGGGGTGGCCCGAAGCCGGGTTTGGGGGGGTCGGAAGGGGCCGTGGGGTGTTTGGTGCAGCGAGACTGGGGGCAGCTCGTGGAAGGCGCCAAATGTCAAATAGAAGAGTTTGCTGCTGGATCCTAGAGGTAACATGGGAGCCACGGGAGTTTATTGAGGGAGGGAGAACTGCTTTAGGATTACCCCTGGCCGTTGTATGGAGGATGAACTGGAGAAACTGGAGATGAGGTTAGGGTGAGACCAGTGAGAAGGGTCCGAGCTAGGGTGGGCCAGGCTGCAGGAGATGAAAGGTCTAGTAGAGATGGAAAGTGCTGGCTTTGGCATCAGAGGCCCTAGTGTTAGCCCCAGTCAGTCAGTAAACATTTATTAAGTGCCTCCCACGTGCCAGGTACTGGGCCAAGTGTTGAGAATGCAAAGAAAGGCAAAAGACTCCCTGCTCTCCAAGTGCTTACAGGCTGACCGGAGAGAAATCATGAAATTACATACACATGAGATAAATAGGTAGCTATAGATGTAGAAATAATAAAGGGAAGGCACTGGAAAAGGCTAACTGTAGAAGGTGCGATGTTAGCTGGAACTTGAAGGAAGCCAGGAGGCAGAGATGAGGAGGGAGAGCATCCCAGGCGTGGGTGAAAATGCTGGAGTCTGGAAGACAGAGAGTCTTGTTGGAGGAACAACAGGAGGCCAGTGCCACTGGATCCTAGAGTACAGGAAGGGGTGGAAGGAGGCTGGAAAGATACAGGAAGGGGCCAGGTTGTGAAGGGCTTTGAATGCCCAACAGAGGATTTTATATTTGATCAGAAAACGATAAGGAGCCGCTGGAGTTTGTTAAAGGGAGGGAGGGAGGGAGTGCAGCATAGGAAGATTACTTCAACAGCTGAGTGTAGGATGGACTGGAATGAGGTGAGGATTGTGGCCTACAGACCAACCAGGAGGCTACTGCAATGGTCCAGTTATAAGATGATGAGGGCCTGCACCAGGGTGGGAGGAGTGTCAGGAGAGAAGGGCATATGCAAGAGATGCTGAGAAGGTAAAGTCAACAGGCCTCAAGCAATGGATTGGATATGGTGGTGTGAGAAAGAATGAGGAGTGGAGGGATGACATCTAGGCTGCAAGCCAGGGTGACTGAAAGGATTGGTGGTACCCTCAATAGTAATAGGAAAGTTGGGAAGAAAGGAGGATTTGGGGGAAAAGATAATGAGATCAGCTTTGGACATGCTGAGTTTAAACTCTCCGTAGGAGATCCAGTTCAAGATGTCCAAAGGCAGTTGGAGATATGAGAGGAGAGGTCAGGAGAGAGATTAGAGCTTTTTAAGTAGACTGAAATTCGTCCGAATAGAGACAAAAATTGAATCCAGGGGAGCTGATGAAATAGTATAGGAGAAGAGGACCCAGGGCAAGCCCAGTGGGACACCTGTGGTTAGCAGGCACGACCTGGACCAGTGAAGGAATGGTGGCATAGGAGGAGAAACAGGAGAGATTTGGTGTCTCAAAAACCTGGGGAGAAGAGAGTATCAAGGAAAAGAGGGTGATCACCAGTGTCAGAAGCTGCAAAGAGGCCAAGAAGGCTGAAGATTTGTCAATTAACAGATCATGAGTAAATTTGGAGAGAGGCGAGAGAGCAGTTTTGTTTGGATGATTAGGTTGGAAGCCAGACACTAAAGAGTGTTCAGTGAAAAGAGAGTGAAAGGAAAGGCAGTGGAGGCACCAGCTTTCTCAAGGACTTTAGCCAAGAAGAGGAGAGATAGAGGACAGTAGCTAGCAGGGGTGGGTGGGTCAAATTAAGATCTTTATTTATTTTTTGATGGTGGGGAGACATGGGCACGTTTGTAGGCAATAGGGAAGCAGCCATTAAATGGAAATTGAAGTTATGTGGATGATAGAGAAGATGGAATGGAATGGCATCATTTGTGCATGTGGAGGGGCTTGCCTTGGAGAAGGGCCAGCTCTTATGTGAGGCAGGGTGAAGGTGCAGATAGTGGGGAAAGACATCTGATGAACAAGCCATGAGGAAAGGAGAAGAGGGAGTTCTTGGCTAATAGCCTCATTTTTTTTCGGCAAAATATTAATCAAGGTGATTAGCTGAGAGACTGAGAAGAAAGGGGGATGGGAGGTTTGAAGTGGAATGAAAGGTCTGAGAAAGCTACTGGTGGATAATATAGTGGGGTAATTAGGGATTTGTAAAAAGATTGCCTAGTATCAGTGACGGCCTTTGGCATCTTTCTGGGTGGTGAAGTGGATAGAGTGCTGGGCCTAGAACCCGGAAAACCTGAGTTCAGATCCAGCCTCAGACACTGTGTGACCCTGGGTAAACTACTTAACCCTGTTTGCCTCCATTTCTTCATCTATAAAATGAGCTGGAGAAAGCAGTGGCAAACCATTTCATTATCTTTGCCACGAAAACCCAAATGGGTTCACAAAGAGTCAGACACAACTAAAACAACTGAACTGTGAGGGCCCAGTTGAGATTGTGTAACAGAAATTTGTGGTAGACCTAGTCAGTCAAGCTTTGTAATTCTTTGTTCAGCGGCATGTGTGTAGGAGTGAAGGTAGTAGATGTTGAAAGTGGTCTGAGGCTGAGGGTTGGCAGGGCAAGGTCTTTGAAAGGATAAGTGGGCAAGGGACTCATGAGAAGGGGACAGTGTAGAGCTGACCTGATCCATAAAGAGGTCAAGATGACATGGACACCATGATCTCCAATCGCTCAGCCCTTCAATCCTCTCATGCCACCATCCCTGCACTAGCCACTCTCCTCTTTTCCCCAGAGAGGTCAGGGACTTGCCTGTCTGTGGCCACACAATTAGTGAGTGTCAGAACCAGATCTTCTAACTCCTGAGTTGTCTATTTTTTATTCCAGGAAAATGATGAGGTGTTAGTGGCTGGCTTTGGTCGAAAGGGCCATGCTGTTGGTGATATTCCTGGAGTCCGCTTCAAAGTTGTAAAAGTAGCCAATGTTTCTCTTCTGGCTTTGTACAAAGGCAAGAAGGAGAGACCAAGATCATAAAGTAATTCTAACAATAAATTTTTTCATTTAAAGAGTGTCAGAGAATCCTGTACTTTAGTCTTATTCTTTCATTCCTTATTTCTTTCCTAATTGGTCCTACTGTTCCTAGACACTACCAAAAGAGGGAATCTTCAAAAGTACAGCTCTAACCATGTCTAACCATTGCTCCAAAACCTCCATCGGCTTCTCATTCACAAGATAATTCATTCCACAGGTGACACTGAAGGTTCCCCACAGTAGTGCCAACCTCTTTCCATTTTGCCCCATAAGAAATCTGCTATTTTCCTTTCTCTGTGCCTTTGGCTATGCCCTTTCCCTGCTTCTTAATTTGTCTAATCCGGTCCTACTTAGTGTAACTTTCTCCCATGATGTATTCCCTCTCCTACCCCTCAAGCTCCCTGGAACCTTGCCCTTTAACTTCCTGTAGTGCATTTTACCAAGTATGATTTAGAGCTTAGAGGACCCTTAAGAGATCCTCTAGTGCAACACAATCATTTTACATACAAAAAAACAGATCTAGGGAGGTTACATGATTTGTCCACAGGTAATAAGTGATAGAGTCAGGATAGAACCCATATGTCTCTGACATCAAATATCCCTTAGTATTTATGTGGTTTTATATATTTGTCTTTGCCTTATATTCCCCCCCCCCCCTTTGCTCCCCCCACACCGTTAAGCTTCTTGAAGGCAGTGGTAAGGAGGTGCTCTGTGACAGAAACAAGGGGAAAAAATATCCAAATGTCAACTTGATCACTTATTGAGTGACTTTTTGAAAAAATAATCAGTAAAAATAAGTGAATACTTAAGAAAACCTAACAAGAAATGGCCACTTAAGCACGTACCAGGCTTAGGAATCGTTTTCAGCTTTCTTACACATGCACAGTCATAAAATTTCACCTGGCTCAGGACCTTCATGGTTGTCACGTAGTTTAGTCTCTTCACTTTGCTGATGAGGAAACAGACTCAGAGAAGATTGGAGAGACTTGCCTGAGGTTCCTCAGGTAGTGGCAGAGCAGGCTGTAGACTTTCAATATTGTGATCCTTCACAGGAGAGAATACCTGGTCTGTTCAAGCAGGTATTGAATAAACTTTTTACTACTGGGATGTAATTTGATACTCCATGTCTTCGGGTTACTTTTTTTTGAAATTCTGCTCTTTGGGTAGGAATTATATAACTTGGTGCAGTGGAAAGAGTATTGGATTTGGATTTAGAGGGCCTAGGTTTGAATCCTAGCTCTTCCACCTGTCTGACAAATTTCTTAACTTCTTTGGGACTCAGTTTCCTCATCTGTTAAAAGCATTTGACTGTATGACCTGTAAGGGCCTTCTACTTCTACTTTATGTCCAGTTTGCCGTTTTATACTAATACTAGAGCACTGTAATATCTTCCATTAGCACCTAAGCTTACTTTCAACTTTGCATTGTAACAATGGGATATATCAAGGACAGCACTGGGTTTAGGTATCAGAAGTCCTAGGTTTCTGAGTTCTGACTGCCCTATTTACTAACTAATTCTGATAAATCACTTCATCTCCACAGCCTCAGTTTCTTTGTAAAATGGAAATACTTCCTAGTTTACAGTGTGAAGGAAAGCATTCTGTAAGCCGTAAAGCATTATGTAAGTGTGAATTACATTCTTCTTAAGAAGTACACTAATATGTTAGGTTTTTAGCAACAATGGTTGAAACAGATTTTCAGGTTAGCCTTTTAGTAACCAGAGTACCCCATTCTTAGAAGTATGGTTAATTGAGATTTTACTCTACTACTTAAGGAAGTTGGAATGAAAGTTCCCAATTAATGAATTTTTTTTTAAACACACTTAATTTCAGGGGTGTGGAAGCCAAGCAGCCCAATTCTGCCATCAGGAAGTGTGTGAGAGTTCAGCTGATCAAGAATGGCAAGAAAATCACAGCCTTTGTTCCAAATGATGGTTGCTTGAACTTTATTGAGGTAATTTATTTTTAAACAAAAAGGAAATTATTGGATAGTTGTTGGGGAAGCTGGTCCTTTTACTTTCTTTTAGATAGCATTTTGACTTTTTAAACATGGGGGGAAAAATTATTCTGTAGAAGAGTAACTCATGGACAAAATGAGTAATGCTACCATACAGGTAATGGTCTGCCCTGGACGAGTGTAAATGTTTATTCAATAAAAATTGCTAATCATTTTTATACTGTCTACTACCTATTGATGGAAATACAAACTGGTTTAAAAATATCCAAATAAATCATTTGATTTTTGGTGTTTATTTGAAAGTAAGTATAGAGGAAATCTCAATAATTGTGATTGTGTTTTTCTTCAGACTAAAAATTAAACTTTTTTAGAAACGGTAATATTTCTTTGATTTGTTAGTATAGCTGAGTTAAAACATATTTGTGATCTGCTAGATATACAAATTTAAACATATGTGGTCTTCTATATGGTAATTTCTTATTTTTTATTCCAGGAAAATGATGAGGTGTTAGTGGCTGGCTTTGGTCGAAAGGGCCATGCTGTTGGTGATATTCCTGGAGTCCGCTTCAAAGTTGTAAAAGTAGCCAATGTTTCTCTTCTGGCTTTGTACAAAGGCAAGAAGGAGAGACCAAGATCATAAAGTAATTCTAACAATAAATTTTTTCATTTAAAGAGTGTCAGAGAATCCTGTACTTTAGTCTTATTCTTTCATTCCTTATTCTGTCCCCCTTTCTCAAGGATCTTTTAAGAATTATTTATTATATTTTAATTTGTGAAATAAAACAAGCATTTCCATAATGTAGAATTTTAAAAAGATTGCAAATGAAACTGAAAATTATTATGTTCAACTTGCTATTCCTTTTAAATATAAAGTTATGAAACTTTTTTCCCTTCTCCCCCCCCATGGCTACCATTAGACACAAATATGTATACATATATAAAATTATTGTATACTTCTGTTTATCAGGTTCATGTCTTGCCTCTAACAAATTGGCTCTGGCAAGTTATGTAATCTCTCACTTCCCTAGGTAATTCTAAAACTAAGTTGTGAAAGCAAATACCAATCTGTTTTTGTAGAGAAGGGTTAGTCCTCTTTACTAGGGAAATCACAGTCCATGTGCTTGATAAGTCTCAAAAGCAAAACCAAAGGCACCAAGAACTTTACTTCCTATACAATCAGAACAGTCGGCCACGCTAAATTAGAGAAATGCAAATTAAAACAACTCTGAGGTTCTACTTCACACTTATCAGACTGCCTAAGATCACAGAAAAGGAAAATGACATGCTGAAGGGGATATGGGACACTGTCAGTGGAGCCGTGAACTGATCCAACCATTCAGAAGAATGATTTGGAACTAGGCCCAAAGGGCTATAAAACTGCATACCCTTTGACCCAGCAATACCACTACTAGGTTTGTGTCCCAAAGAGAACAAAGAAAATATATACAAAAATATTTATAGCAGCTCTTTTTGTGATGGCTAAGAATTGAAATTTGAGGGGATGCCCATCAGTTGGAAAGCTGAACAAGTGGTATATACTTATGATGGAGTACTATTGTGCTTTAAGAAATGGTGAGCAGAATGGTTTTAGGAAAACTTAGACATGAAAAGTGAAGTGAGCAGAACCAGGAGAACAATTTACATAGTAATAGCAATATTGTAATGATAATCATTTAGCTGCTCTGATCAATACAATGATCCAAGACAATTCCAAAGGATTCATGACAAAAATGCTATCTACCTCCAGAAAGAGAATTTAGTGCAGACTGAAGCATATTTTCTTTCACTTTATTTTTCTTGCCTCCACCCCCCACCTTGGCTAATATGGAAGTATGTTTTGCATGACTTCTTATTTATGAATATCATATTTCCTGCCTTTTTAATGAGTGGGAGGGAGGCTGGAAGGAGGGACAGGATTCAGAACTGGAAATTTTTTTTAATTAAAAAAATTTCATATTTTATTTTCCTCCAATTACATGTAGAAACAATTTTTAATCGACATTTTAAAAACTTTGAGTTTCAAATTCTCTCCCTCCCTCCCCTGCCCCCTTTGAAAAGGCAAGCAATTCAGTATAGGCTATACATGTGTAGTCATGCAAAATATTTCTATATTAATCATGTGAAGTCATAGACAAAAAAAATCAAGAAAATGCACGCTTCAATCTGTATTCAGACACCATCATTTGTTTTTCTGGGGATGGATAGCATTTTTCATCCTAAGTCCTTCAGAGCTTTTCTGAATCATTGTATTGCTGAGAATAGCCAAGTCATTCACAACTTATCATCTTACAATATTGCTGTTACTTTGTATACAGTACATTTCACTTTGCATCAGTTAATATAAGTCCAGGTTTTTCTGAGACCATCCTGCTCATCATTTATTTTTTTCTTTTTCTTTTTGCTGGGCAATGGGATTAAGTGACTTGGCCAGTGTCACACAGCTAGTAAGTGTCAAGTATCTGAGGCTGGATTTGAACTCAGGTCCTTCTGACTCCAGGGCTGGTGCTCTATCCACTGCACCACTTAACTGACCCCCCATCCCTCCACCCCGCACTTTCTCCTCCTCTTTCTCTTCCCCCCCCATTATTTCTTATAGCACAATAGTATTCCATGACAATCACATAGCACAATTTGTCCAGTCATTCCCCACTTGATGGGCATCTTCCCATTTTCCAACTCCTTGCCACCAGAAAAGAGCTGGTATAAATATTTCCATACATACCGGTCTTTTTCCCTTTTGTTTTTTTTTAAATCTCTTTGGATACAGACCTAGTAGTGACATTGCTAGGTCAAAAGGTATGCACTGTTTTATAGCCCTTTGGGCATCAAAACTGGAAATTAAAGAAAACAACAACTTGATCAGGTGTTTTCTGTTCAGCACATGTATATACACGTTTCTGAACATCTCTATCAAATACAAGGTAATTTCAGTGCAGACACTATGAAGTGGGGGTGAGTTTGGGAATGGGTAAAGGTGTAGAACAAAACCTCACCCCCCCAAAAAAATGTTGGCAATTTAATCCAAAAATAAAGGAATGAAGTGGAAGAAATTCAAGTTAAGTCTCAGGTATATTTAGTTTGATATATGGTTGTATTTTGGGGTAATTATAAACTTTTTCCACTTTGTCCATGGCCCTTCTTCTTGGTCGAGAAGTGACATAAATAAATGTTGAATAAAATCTGAATCAGTTTTTATTCATGGATTATGTTTTTGGAATAAAAACACCTAAAATAGAAAGAAACCAAAAGTGGCCCTTCCCCTTCAGCAGATTAATCCGTTCAGGATTCCTAAGTCTTTCAAGCTCTTTTAAGAGTTTTTCATTTGAATGGGTCATTGGAATGACCCACATTATTGTATTTTTTTTCTAAGCACGGGTAACGGTGGCATGAGAAATATCTTGCTTAAACTAAAACAAAATCAGAGTTTGCAGGCAATTTCTTGTAGACGTAGAAAAAAATTTCTGTGGTTAAATACAAAAATGTCCAGCCAGCATACAGGCAGACACATGTTTAAGCACAAATGTACCCACCAGCACTCATCTTCATTCATATCTGGGTTTTCAAGAAGTTTAAAGACTTACTGATACTTCCCCGCCCCTTCCCCCCCAATTCCTGCTACCAAGAAAATGTCCACCTCTGAACCTACAATGTTAGAAGCACTGGGCTGTTGTTGCTGCCTCTGCCTAATATAGGAGCAGCTAATCCTCCTGATGTAATCATCTCTGAATTGAGTTTAAATGCTTAAATATACAGTGCTTTCTTTCCTTTAAGGATTAACTATGTTTGATGTCACTCAGTTTAGTCCACAGAGTTTTTCATGTACAAGTGTCTTGGGCTTTAGAGGTCTGATTGTGGTAATAATAAATCATGTGCCTAAAAGAATGAAGAAACATACCATTCAATTCCTGTCAGAGAGGTGGTGAACTTAAAATGCAAAGACATGTATTTTCAGACATGGCTAATGTGGGGCAGCTAGGTGGCACGGTGCGTACATAGAGTGCTGGGCCTAGAGTCAGGATAACTCATCTTCCTGAGTTCAAATCTGGCTTCATATATTTACTAGCTCTGTGACACTTAACCCTGTTTGCCTCAGTTTCCTCATCTGTCAAATGAGCTGGAGAAGGAAATGACAAAACCATTCCAGCATCTTTGCCAATGAAACCCCAAATGGGGTCATGAAAAGTCAGACACAAATGAACAATATGATAATTTGTCTTGCTGGATTATGTAGATATTTATTAAGGGGATTAAAAAAATTGCTCAGTTGGGGATAATGGGAGGGACATATTCGTAAAAAATACTTGTTACTTGAAAAACAAACAAAAACAAGTGTTATGGGTCAACTGATTTCCAGGTAAACTTCCCAAAGGCCAAAGGAGTAGGACTGAAAAGACAACAATTGAACTAAAGCCATGTGTAAGCGAAGTGGACTCAGAGAAGGCCCAAAAAAGTATGTAAATCATCAAGGCAGTATTGTACAGTGGATAGAGACCTGGCCTTGAAGTCTGAAAGGCCTTGGTCCAAATCCCACCTCAGGCATATACTGTGTGACCCTGGACAAGTTACTTAACCTCTCAATGTTTTAGCAAACTCTCTAAGGCTACATATTGCAGGCAGACAAGATACTGAACAGAAGTTGAAGAGAGGAGTTCCTCACCTGGGCGTTCACTATTACAATGACATCACAGATCTGGTCAATTTTTAGTCCCCAGAACATTCGGGGGATAGACAAACAAAAAACTCCAAAAACAAATCTAGAAATGCATCCATACTCACTAGGAACAGAGAGGTGGTGCAGTGGATAGGATGCCGGGTGTGGAGTCAGGCAGACCTGAGTTCAATTCTGGCCTTAGATCCTGAGTGACCCTGGGCAAGTGACTTAACCGTGTTTGCCTCAGTGTCCTCATCTGTAAAATGTAACTAGGGAAGGAAATGGCAAACTACTCCAGTATCTTTGCCAAGATGGGATCACAGAGTAAGCCACGATTGAACAATAACCCATACTCACTGATGTTCCTGTTCCAGAACATTTTTGGCAGAAAACATTCGGCTAAATATGTAACAGGCAACTTTGTAGCTAGGAAATTTGCTTACAGATTGAATAAAAGTCTCACAAGTTACATACACGTGTAGCAATGTGGCCACCAGCTCAGCAACTTTCCACCAATCCTTTTCAGTCTTACTCCCAAGTCAATGAATGGCTGCCTCCTGTTTCTCTTGTAGAACTCACAGAACAAGGAATTAAATGACCAAATCAAGTACCTAGCCCATAACTGGTACTTAATAAGAACTAGTTGATTTTTTCTTAAATGCTGTCCTGTGCTCACCAAGTTATTTAATCTACTAATGAAAGCTTTAATCTCTTTTATGGAAGCACATTATCTCCCTGAGAACAACATTTTTATTGTACTATTTTGATGTTTACTGGGATTGTCTTCAAACACAACAAAATTTTCAGATGAAAGCAAACAGGAACAAAAAACTCTTTTGACTAAAAAAAGAAACAGATCTGTTGCCTGTTATGTATGCAAACATTGATGCAATTCAACAGTTTAAGAAAGCACATAGTAGGTAACAGTATTCTATAAAGCCCATGCTTCCAGATTCTTGCATAGTCACTTAAACAATGTTCAAGTTAGAAGAGACATCACAGGGCATCTTGTAGTCAAACTTTCTCACTGTTTGAGGTATATTTATATACACCTATTTGTGTCTAATGGTAGCATCTCTAGGGCAGGGTAATGGGAGCACAGAAAAAGAAAGGTGGAAAAAGAAGAAAATTACATGATAATTTTGCTGTATATTTGAAATGATTAGCAAGTTGTGCATAGTAGATTTGCAGTTTCATGTATAATCATCTTTTTATGTACGATGTTATGGAAATACAAGCATGTATTAACAAAAAAAGGGGGGGAGAGATATAAAACCCAAGAATGAAATAATCCCCATTCTGGATTTGGGGGAGTGGGTAGAGCTTGCATTCTAACAGAGGAAAAAAGAAGAGCACGTATAAGTATATACAGAATGAATATAAAGAGAAAGAAATAAATACAAGGTAGCTAAATGCAACATAGGGAGAGAGGGTACAAGCTCAGTACACTTTGGTTGGTTTGCTGGTTCTCTATCTTCTACATTAGAGTGCCTTTCTGTGCTTATGTAACAATATACTCTCTCTGCCTTTCACTGTCTTCATAAAGAGATATATATATATATATATACACACATACATATACACACACATTTCTATATATCTCTATCAAATACAATGTAATTTTGGTGAAGACACTATGAAGTGGGGGTGAGTTTGGGAAGGAGGAAAGGTGTGGAACAGAACCTCAGCAAATATTAGAAATCCCTTAGGGTGTGTGTGTGTTTGTGTGGTTAAGGGGTGAGGAGGATGTAAAAATCCTCATGCTGGGGCAGCTAGGTGGCGCAGTGGATAGAGCACTGGCCCTGGAGTCAGGAGGACCTGAGTTCAAATGCAGCATCAGACACATAACAAACACTAGCTGTGTGACTCCGGGCAAGTCACTTACCCCCACTTGCCCTCACCCAAAAGAAAAAAATCCTCGTGCTCATAGATGTGGAAACAGGCCCAGAGAGGCTCTGCCACTGACTCTGATCTTTCCCACCTCAGAGCCACAGCTTCCTTTCCCTAGAGATGCCTCGGTTCCCTTCTCTGACTGGCTACTGTTTTAGGAAATTCCTGGCCCGTCCATGCTCCTTCTTTGACTCTCGGGCCTTGTCCTTGCTGCCTGACCCGCCTACACCCCCACTTTGCAACTCTCGTTGAAGCAACAGCTTCCCCATTAGAATGATATTCCTTGAGGGTGGGGACAAGCTTGGGGGCAGGGGGAGCCTGCATCTGCATTCCCAGCATGGGGCACACAGTAACCACTAGATAATGAAAGTTCCTTCTAAGTGATTTCTCCCAGAGTCACACAGGATTCCACAGCCCGGAGTAGGACCCAGGTCTCTCAGCTCCCAGTTCGGAGTGCTTTCTTCTGTTCTTTAAGATGTAAACCTTAACTAACATTCCCAACAAGCCATCTCTATACCAGTCACAAATTCGGAGAGATTCTAGACTTATTGAATGTTACTGCTGGAACAGAGAAGAGAAATTATCCATCCCAAGCTCTGCATTTTATTAAGGAGACTAAAATGACCAGAGGTTAAAAAACATGCCTATGTCACCATAGCTAAATGACAGTCGTGTCTGATGCTTTGTGATCCCATTTGGGGTTTTTGTGGCAAAGATAGTGGAATGGTTTGCCATTTCCTTCTCCAGTTCATTTTACAGATGAGAAAACTGAGGAAAACAGGATTAAGTGACTTGCCCAGGGTCACACAAGCTAGTAAGTATCTAAGACCACATATGAACTCGGCAAGATGAGTCTTCTTGACTCCAGGCCCCACACTCTATCCACTGCACCACCTAGCTGCCCTTATCTCATAGTAGGACCATGTAAAACCTTCAAAAGTTGATTATAATTTAAAGGCTAAAAGTTTGCCTCAGTTTCCTCATCTGTAAAATGACAATAATAGCACCTACTTCCCAGGGTGCTTGTGAGGATCAAATGAGATAATATATGTAAAGCACTCATTCTGTCAATAAACACTTATTGAGTACCTACTACGTGCCAGCCACTGTACTAAGAGTTGGGGATATAAAAAGTCAGTCCCTGTCACTTAATGGGGGAGACCTATGATACTCAGCATAGTGCCTGACGCCTACTAGGTCCCATATAAACGGTAGCTATTCATATTATTATCATAGACATAACTCCCTCCACTTGCCTAAAGAAACAGATTTGTGGGAAGGGTCATAGGCTTGACATTCAGAGGATCACATGATATTAGGATAACAGGTACATCAGGAGGCCATCTGGTTCAATCTGCTAAGTGTACAGATGAGAAAACTTAGGCCCACAGAGGGTATGTGACTTGTCCAAGGTCATATAGGATGAAACTGAGGTAGGATTTGAACCCAAGTCTTCTCTAAAGTCAGAACTCTTTCCTCAGTGGCATTCATTTAATTTGCATATATTTTATTTTTCCTTATCTGTGTCAAAGTTATGACACCCTCTTGCATTCCCCATAGTAGAATATAAGCTCTTTGAGAGCAGAGACATTTTCATTTTTGTCTTTACATCTTCAGCAGCTAGAAGGGAGCCTGGCACATAATGGATGCTTTAAAAAAATCTGACTGAATTGAAATAGAATCTAAAGAAAATAGAATTTAATGCTCGGAAATAAGGAGGATGCAGGGGGACAGGGATAGAAAGGAGAACATGTTATAAAATGAAAAATAAAAAGTCAATGGCAAGGTATTTATTAAGTCTCAACCATGTGCCCAGTACAAGTAGTGGTTTGTTATTTCTTAGAATAAAAAGTGAAAATTATTTTAAGTACATAAAACCAATTTTCTATTTTAAATATTAAAAAAAATGTTATACCAGGGGACTTCAGTCACGTTCACAATGAATGTTCATATCCATTTCAGGGTAAAGCCCTAAGGCCAGAAGAAAGGATGTGGTCAGAGCAATAATAAATGGCTCTTCCATCAACTTCAGGGACACAGGATGCTCAACAATGTATCCTCCCTCTCAGTGAAGCCCAATCACCTGAGTCTTTGGGGTAGGTGTTACAAACATTTTTGTCTTCAGTTGTCATCTGGTGTGTTGTTTCCAAAGTAAAACAGAAACTACTCCAGTGAAGATTATAGCAGGTGACACTATCCATCATCCATCCTGTGCTGCTCAAGAAAATGAAGGTTCCAATTACTGCCATGACTCGTCAGTGTGTGGGATTTAACTCAGAGACCTGAATATAGCACAGAAACAAAGCAAAAAGACAGTGACAAAATAAGGTGACCAGGGAGCCCCCAAGAGCCATTTGAATGAAGACTTCCATAAGTCAGCCTGGCCCTGTGAAGGTGGAACCTGAATGTGTGCGCCAGCCGGGCAGTGGGAAAGCCCAGTGTGTCACAACAGAACCACAGATTTAGATTCAGAAGGGCCCTCAGGAGTCATCTTGTCCAATGCCTTATTTTACAAATGAGGAAACCTGAAGCCCAGAGACTTGCCCAAGGTCACAAGGAATCTGTAAATAGAGCCAGGAATGGAATCCTTAGTCCAAATCCAGCACTGCAACATTTTATAAAGGGGAAAAATCTTCATTTTAAGGGTTCACTTGAAGGGTGCTTGGGCAGCGAGGTGATCCAATAGTATGGAGATAAGAAAGACTCATCTTACTGAATTCAAATCCCACCTGGGACGCATACTAGTTATATGACCCTGAGCAAGTCACTTAACTGTTTCCCTCAGTTCCTCATCTGTAAAATGAGCTGGAGAAGGAAATGACAAACCACTGCAGTATCTTTGCCAAGAAGATCCCAAATGGGGTCACAGAGTCAGATATGACTGAAATGACTGAAAAACAACAACAAAAATGGAGGGTACTAAAGCGATACTGAAACTCCTTCATGTAACAGCAAAATATGACAAACAAGTGCCCTTTCCTTTACCTTGTGTCAATCTGGTTTTGCATCGTGCTATGACATTGCCTTGGCATAACTCAAAGGTAGGTTCAGCCCCACCACTGGCCCGACGATGCTGAGCCACGATGTAATGTAGTTTATATTCCTTTAAAAAAAAAAAAAAGCAAAACTGAAAGGAATATCAACATTTTCATGGTGGTTTGGAGTCATCACAGAAAATCAAACAATAGGTACTTATTAAATATCTACTGTGTGCCCAGCATCATACTAGGCACTGGTTACTTAAATTATTTTTTTTAAAAGCGTATCTTACTACCATCTGAAATGTTACATTTAAAATCTATAGTATCTTAATAATATTATTTTAGAACCACATATTTACATTTAAATATAAATGCAATTAAATGTATCAGACTAGTATCTCTTACCTATTGTCTTTTTCAGAATTTTCTAGCAAAGAAGTCATGAATTCATTTGTCTTGCAAGGATGAAGGACAAAGAAAGGTTGTCCAAGTATTGGGTGCTCCTGAAAAAAGCAAAGTGTATACAAGATTGCTCATCAATATGGCTCTGAACAAGTTCAACTAATTCTACTAAACAAACAACAATGATAACAGTAGTTGGTTTTACTTTGACTAGCTAATGGTATTTTAAGTGCAAAGTGCTTTCTATATGTAGTCTCATTAATAGCCTACAACGTGGAGCCTAGGTGCTGGCAAGATACAATGCTATATAACAAGATATAATCTATCAGTCCTTGCTTTTAATCAGAAAGGGTGAGGGAGAAGAAATACACACCAATAATTATAGCACAAAATGGTTCATATGGCTATAAATAAAACTATGTGAGAACACAGGAGGGAAAGAAAATTTGTGACTGGGGGATAGGGGAAATTTCAGGGAAGAAGTGACATCTGAACTCTGTCTTAAAGGCTTAGAATTTCAATAGGTGAAGAGGGCAGGACTGACATTCTAGGCAAAAAGAATGCTGTGAGTAAGAGCACAGAGGTAGAAAAGGTGGCAAAGAGTATGAGAAGTCTGGTTTGGGCAAGTGTATATTATGTGAAGGGAAGCAGGGTGAGACAAAGCTGAAAGCATAAAATGGTTCCACATGATGCCGGTCCTTGAACGTTTGGGCTTTACTGAAATAGAATCATTAAAAAAAAGTTTTGAGAAGATCTATGCCTACAGAAGTTAATTTCTCAGTGGTATGATGTACAACAAAGGGCTCATAGGATTATGAATTTAATTCTAGGAGGGAAGTTAGATACCATCAAGGCCAGCCCCCTCATTGTAGAGATGAGGAGACTAAGACCTAGGGGAAGAGACTGCAGATGAGAAGGCTGATTAGGAGGCTAATAAAATAATCTAGGGAGGTGGCTGTGTGAGCCTCTATTATAATAGTGGCAGCAGAAAAAAGAAAAAGGGACAGCCAAGCCTCCAAGAAGGATTTGCTGGGGGTCGGAGAGAGGAGAGTGCCATGGACAACAACCATGACCAGATGAGTGCCTTGTGAACCTCCAAGGGTAAAGTGTTAGGGACTGGAATCCTCCCAGCATCCCAGGGGCTTGGGTGGCTATGTTAGGAGCAAAGGACACATTAGATACTCCAAGGAAAGGCAGCTTCATTGATTCTACAAAGACAGCAGCACAATTCTACACCAGACCTACCAGGAAGATCTAGAGGAATCCAGCAAAAGGACTTCCAGGAGCTGAGAGTCATCATCTAGTGCCACATGTGCTCCAAGCTTGAGACCGCCTTCCCCCATGGTCTCTGCATACACTGGCAGGAGGGTGTGGTACAGACTTGGGGAGATAATTTGCACCAACCATTCTGATTCTACTCCTCAGTAACTATCTCTTCACAAAGGCTAATTAAGTATGGCTGACTACTTGATATCAACTGATAATCATGGGAGGAAACATTTTGATGAGAGGTCGTGAGGCTTACTATTAAAAAACCACCCTTAGATCCTCATTGCCTAGAGAGCTTCTGGGGATCCAACCTTCCATTGCAAGTGGGTGTTGGGACAGTAGCTTCAGAGTTGTGTTACAGGCTTTGAAAACTGTGTTAGGAACTGCTTAATGATCTAAGGAAAAGTTAGAATTTGGTGCAAATGTGAATGGGCTGAAACATTCCTCAAATCCTGAATGAAGAAATTTAGTAATTTTCACCCTCCCTCCTCCACCCCCCACCCAACTCTTTCTCTCTCTGTCTTAGTCTCTCTGTCTTCTCTCTTCTCTCCTCACGCTGAGATAAAAGCAGAAAAGCTAATGATTTCTTGACTTGCTCCAATGAAAATTTCATCCTTTATAACTTAGAGAAATGAATTAAGGAAATTCTATGCTGGATATGATTCTTATGAACAAGGAGAAACTAGTTGCTGGTTGGAGGAGGAAGAAATGGAGAGAATAATGAAAACCTTAGGGAAAAATCACCACTAAATCTTAGAGTTTATCAAAGACCAAAAAAGGAGCCCAATTTCATAGATTTCAAAGCATTTGTAGAGGGCACAGTTAGGAGAGATGAGAACCTCTCAAGAATAAACAATTCCTGAGAGAGGAAAATGGGTAGTTATCTAATGAGATTAATGTGGATACAGAGAGGTGTCATCAAACAACTTAGATTTTTAAAAAATCTGTATAAAAGATGAAAGCAAGGCAGAGAAAAAGAAGATATTACAAAACCATGGTATGGCTCTTTCAGGTTAGTGTTGGAAGCACTAGAGGTGGTAAGAAAATACAACAAAAGGGATGTTTAAAAAAAAAAAACCCTGTAAAACAGGGTTTCCATTTGGCTCTACAATCCTTAGCTACCCCAGGGCACTATGGGATATTTTGGCCAATCTTAATTATGCAAATATAAACTCCTAAACCATGGATTCCCATGACAGACCAAAGAAGAACTATCCATCCAACAGCAAATTAGCTAATTGGGACAGAACAGCAAACTAAATAATAGAGGAAATAAAGCAAAAGAATCATCCCCACTTCTGTTCCCCAACCCATAACCCACATACAAAGGAATATAATCTCCTATTGACTTCCACTTAGGTGGAAAGGTAGTAATTCAACTAGAACACCTCTGACATCGGCCACTCAGGGCCAGTGCTGGTCTCATGATTTCTTGCCTCTGCCTCTAAGAGCCCCCTGGATGTGGGGCTTTGTTGTCGTTACTGATATTGTTGTACGAGCGGGACACAGAATAACAACAACAACAACTGACATCTACATAGTTCGTAAAGTTTGCGAAACGCTTCACTAACATACCGTTCTGTTTGTGACCCACAAGAACACTGTGAAGCTGGTACTATAGATATTAACCCTAATCTACAGATAGGGAAATTGAGGCTCAGAGGTCAAGTGACTTGGCCATACTCACAAAGGTAAGATTTGAACTTAGGTCCTCCTGCCTCCAAGTCTAGCACTCATACATCATCCCCCACATTAAATAATGTTATTCCCCAGAACTTCCTTTGCCACAACTGGCCCATTCTGTCTGGGTGGCCATAATTCAGTGATCGTTGTCAGACCAGGGAGGGCAGGTGAAGAGCTAAAGGTCTAGAGAAGGACAAATTTTTTCCTTTATTTAAAAGAGAAGAGAGAAGAAGCTGCAAATTCTAGGCCAATGCACTTAACAATTAGAGTTCTAAATAACTCCCTTTGACAATATTTTACATCTTTTAAAAAAAGATCATTTTCAGAAACAAAAGACATCAAAACTATCAGGATTTTTTCCACTGGCATTTTTTTTCCACATCAACTCAGAAGTAAATTCATGTGAAAATGCTACCATCTGCTGTTGGAAATAATGAACTGATGGGATTCACCATAGCAAAATATTAATTTGGCAACACAGAAAGCTAATGCTTTGTATCAATCTTATGATTCAATAAATACTTCTCCTCAAATAAAGTTCTTAGAAATGGTTTTCCATGAAGATAGGAAGGTTAGGCCAGATTCATAGCTCTGTAACACTAGAGAAGTTATATGGGTCTATTCCCTTGTGAAACTTAATTTTGCAATGGTTAAATATCTCATAAAATAAGCTGGAGGCGAACACTGTCTCAGAGCTATTAAATATGATGACCATAAGGAGATAATATAGCACTGACCCTTCTGGATCTCATAAATGCATTGTTCCTTAATTCATTTCTTCATTTTGTTTGCCCTCCAGGAGGGCACAAATGTAATTTCAAATAGAGGTCTCACATGGTTTTATTTCTCCAACAACCCAAGTCTACCTTTTGTACCAGGCATATTCTTCAAACATGGTAGGAAAAGAGCCTTCCATATTCTCTCCTGAACTTGAGTTTGTCCATGTGTCAAGAAACTCAGTTCCTGGTGGATGGTGGTCTGCTTGGCCCCCGCCTCTGATACTTTTTAAAAAGAAAAAAAGTTGTAGAGAGGCCTTCTAATATGCACCCAAGGGAATGCCTTATAGCCACTCCTTCCCACCCCTCGCCCACCAGATGGCGTTGCACATACCATCGAAGGATAATTAGAGTAGCTAGCAATTTCAGGTTTGTGAAGCACTTGACATATGTTAACTCATTTGATCCTTATAACAAGACGACTTGTCCCTCAGTCACAGAAATCACCAAATGGGGACAGGAGCAATTTTCCTCTTCAGCATAAACCAATGGAGAGCCAAACACTTCTGTAGATGTACATGAACTCCCAATAAGAGAGAAGGAATAATAATTTAGAGACTCACAGATCATCAGAGTTGCAAGGGACCCTAAGAGTCCCTTTGCTCCCACCCTTATTTTATGGATGATGCTGCTTGCTCAGGCCCAGAGGACTGGAACAAGGCAATAGCAGGACTTCCTGAATCCCAACCCAGACCCCCTACCTCTCCTTACACTGTGCTGTCTCATGCTGTTACAGTAACAGCTGCTTTATCATTTTGAACAATTTTTCCATGACTTCTTCTTTCATTATTGGGACATATTTTTAAAGCTTAAAGAGACCTTATGATGCCCTCATTTTAGAAATGGGGAAACTGCACAGTGGAGTGGATTGGTCAAGGTCAAAGAGATAAGAAGCAAAGCCTACAGTCAAACTCAGGTCCATGATCTTGACTCCAAATCCAATTCTGTAGTCATACATTGTACTATCTCATTCATATTCATTCATTCAACAAAAATTCATTTCACGACTACTATGTTCAAAGCATTATGATAGACTCCATGGGAAATACAACTGTGTCTAGTTCCTCTTCTCAGAGAGTCTAGTCTGGCAGCAGAAGAATGATGGGAAGGGGAAAAGAATAAGTATTTATATAGCACCTACTCTGTATCAGACACTATGCTAAGCACTTTACAATTATTATCTCATTTGATCCTCAAAACAACCCTAGGACGTAGGTGTTATTATATCCCCATTTTACAGATGAGGAAATTGAGGCAAATAGAGGTTAAGTGACTTGCCCAGGGTCACACAACTAGTCAGTGTTTGAAGCTGGACAGAGGATCAAAGATCTTGAGTTGGAAGGGCCTCAGAAAACATTTAGTCCAATTCCCAT